CAACTGTAGGCAGGTAGAATATCTTTAAATGCTTAAGCTAAAGTAGTAGCATGTCATGCCCAATGTTAGTCTAAGCTGACTGTTATGTTTGGTAGAATTCCTGAAACCAACGGGGTATGGTATCACCCACCCAGCTTCCAACTCAGACCATATAACAGGGTTTGTACTCTCTTGAGCTCTTCAAATTCCATGACTGTGTTAAGAAACAGTTTTTAACCGGAAATGTGAAGCCATTAGCCCTAAACGGAAGTGCGTTATGTGTGACGTAGGCTAGTACATCCGGGGTAATCGTACACAAGGGAAAAAACGTTTAGAATGGAAAAAAAGGAATGTATGAGTTGTTCAGCGACGAAATACAATGTTTTGAAGTGCTACTTGTTTATTGTGGTGTTATATGGGACCGGGGTAACAACTGTCCATGACTTTTTCCATGACCTTTTCAAGTTTTCCAAAACCTTACATTTAGCTCTCAGTTTCAAAAATTAAAAAATTTTCCTTGTTTTAGAGTACACAAACCCTGGTGTCCACCAAAATACGTACCGTTTGCACTACTTAATTACTCCTCTCTATCTCACATTGTCCTTGCCTTATCATCTGCAGTAACTAATCTTATTATCAAACTAAACTTTCATTTTCCATGACTTTCAAGGACCGACAATTAAATTCCATGACCTTCCAGGCCTGGAAAATGAAATTCTTAAATTCCATGACTTTCCAGGTTTTCCATGACCTATATGAACCCTGTGTAAGGAGGACATCATGCCAACTTTTTCACTCATTTACACATCTGCCTGGGTTAAGTAGCTTTCTCTAAAGCAAAGATGGCTTTATCATATGCCAAGACACTAGATAAATGTAGCCTCTGTTTATAAATATAGCATTAGACTTCAAAATCAAATCCCTCAGAATCTTAGCCGTCTTCTCGTAAGTTAAAGGAAAACAGGAAATAGAGCAGTAATTTGTGAAACAGATTGTTTACATCGGTTATTGTGACGTGAAACACAACACATGAGATCGATCAAGCGCCAAAGGAAACACATGTACAATCGAGCAGAAAAGAGATGATGCACATATAAACAGGTAAGACCAGAGAATTATTTTTCCACTGCATGATTTCTGCCATCTGTATAAAGAGCCCTATGGTGCATGTTCATAGAAACACTGAAAAATTGTGGTTTTCCAAGATTTCAAAATAGCGACCAATAAACCAGAACTTGAACTACTGTAGCTTTTTTGGCAAAAATTGTTGCAATTTAACAGGAAGCACAGACCACTAGGTATTTTCTAAAAGCAATCCTTGTTGGGTACATCTTCACATAAGGCTGCCTAATTACAAATGCATTTTAATTTCTAAAGAAAATGCTGAGCGTAAATTGAAATATCAGAGTCATATGGAGTCTGTATTGATTACTGGTATTGATGCTAATCAATATACAATAGAAACTTCTTCCTGTATCTACATTGTCTGTTTTGTTAACTCTGGGAAATATCAAATATTATTATTTTCAAAATGTCAGCAAACTGTGACTCTCAACTGATCTACAGTACAATCCCGAATTTTGTGCCCTAATGTTCATTAATTAAAGTGCAAACTGATTTTGTCGGCAGGCTAGATTATAACTGTACTCACTAAATGCACAAGTAAGAATTTGAAACTACAAAAGTCTTTTACATTAAGCCCATATTTTATCAATTAATTTAACGTCTACTGTGCACAAACTGGTCTAGAGTAGGAAATGTACACAAAATGGTAAATATTCAACCTCAAACAAGTTTTCCATTGCTCAGGACAAATGAATCTCTGGTTTCACATGATAAAATATACAACTGAACCGTAATATTTACCACTTCAAAATGTTTTGATAAAGCTTTTTGTTTGTGGGGCCAGTAACAACTAAAAGACAAACGAAAATCTAGCAACGCAAATATATAGGTGGGATGTTTCCAAATGCAAATTCCCACTGATACAGCTGTAATTAAAATACTGACCAAATGACTTGATTAATCATCAAGGTTGCAAGTCAGTCATTACTAAACTGTTATGGTCATAATTCAGGGAGTCTAAAGCCTACTCTGTGATTACTTCTAGTATAAAGCAAGGTTTGACTTCACAGACCAGCAGGAGAGTATTGTACAGCCAATCAGCCAACAAGAAACCCGCTATGAGAGAGTTGACGGTACACAGAATGTTCCTTTCGATCT